GGAGTGATGTCATCAGAGTTACTTTATGCTCTGTTTTTCAGCCCATCCTTTCAAACTCTCAGTTTTCCAGGACAGTTCACTGCAAAGTTCTTGATAAACTTTATCAAGGCTTTATTCTCCCCTCCCTCACCACTCCCCCCTCCACCCCATTTTTGTGGCAAGTTGTTCTGTTAGGGAATAAGGAGTGATGTCATCAGAGTTACTTTATGCTCTGTTTTTCAGCCCATCCTTTCAAACTCTCAGTTTTCCAGGACAGTTCACTGCAAAGTTCTTGATAAACTTTATCAAGGCAACAGATAATATTTTTCTTTAGGCCTTTGGGGGGCTGGCTGGTTCAGGCACGTGGCAGATGTGAATGGAAGGAAGGCTGCTGAGTGATGGCACTCCTAGTACAGACAGATCTGGGCACCATCACTAGGGCTGTGCTTTTCTCAGGAGATGTTTGTGAAACAAACCTGAAGTTTTGGTTTTCTGAAATTTTCAAAAATCTAGTTGTAGATGTGAGGATGATCACCAGCATAATTTTTCTATGTGTATTCACTCTATTTGTATCCTGTCAGTTCCTAATACCCTTACTTGGACATGCACTTGTTTTTGTCTTTTTTTTTTTTTTTCCTTTCTTGCACTTACAGCTTGGGGAAAAATCAAACAAACAGTAGTAATCATCAAAATGACAGACAATGGAGGTATTGCCATGGCTAGATGAATGGCTAAATGTCATAGATTATGCAAGTCTAGAATTATTTTGGATGTCTGGATTTAAAATTGTTGCATGGCTAAGAGGGCCAATTAGTACTGAAAAAAATCAAGATTATTAAAACAGCTCTGGATAGTACAAGTGCTTATACTTCAAGTGCTTATACCTGAAGGCAGATTCTATACCATGAGCCCTATGATAGACTCAGTGTCTGATCATAGTTTATGCCTGTCAGCTTGTGTTTATACTCATCTGACACCTCATGAAAAGCTCTGTGTGTGCTCCTTACAGGCATGGCTCACCACTTTGCACAATTTTCCCTGGATTTCTGTAGAACTCTCACATTGCTGGAAAGTATGAATAATGAAAAGTCAGTTTGTGTAGGCTATAATTTTTCTTTTCCTGTCTGGGAAAGCAAAATAAAAATCAAAAGAACCTCCCCCAGCTCTTTCAGAAAGTTGTTAATTTGGAGTAGTTAGGAATAATATCTCCAATTTATAAATGGTACCAGCAGTACTCTGTACAAGTTCCCTTTTTTTCATGCAGAACCAGTGTAAGGACAGTGTCAGACATCAGGCCTTGCATCTGGACGTGGAAATGCTGGGGTTTATGTGCTGGAACTTTTCCAGGTTATGTACTGCTGTTGGCTATCCCTTCTAGTCAGGGAGTGCATTGCTTTGGCCTACTAAAGCTTTACTTTATTGGGAGCTCCAAAATGGAATATGCACAGGAGGAAAGCAGTTGACAGAATTATTTCTTGCTAGTTCATTACTTTCACTTCTTTCAGATCCAGGTTTTTGGTGTTTGGAAAAAGAAACTGGAGCTCTACTCAGAGTGCTTTGTATTTTGTTCAGTGCATGAATGTAGCTGAAATCACAGAATGGTCTGGGTTGGAAGGGGACTTAAAGATCATCCAGTTCCAACCCCCTGCATGGGCAGGGACACCTCCCACCAGCCCAGGCTGCTCCAAGCCCCATCCAACCTGCCCTTCAACACTGCCAGGGATGGGGCAGCCACAGCTTCCCTGGGCAACCTGGGCTAGGCTCTCACCACCCTCACATTCAAGAATTTCTTCCTAAACCTAAATCTCCTCTCCTCCATTTTAAAACAATCACCCCTTGTCCTCTCACCCTGGAAAAAGTCCTTCCCATGTATCTGCATTGAATGGAAGATCTTTTGAAAAATTAGGATCTTTACTCAATGGAAAGAGGTTAGCCAAGAGAGGTGTGTCTGAACACATTCCAGCCACTGTCAAGTGGTCAATGAGAACTTGGACAACAAGATCTGTGTTTGTTTGCATTATCCTGGTACTAGAGAGCAAGGCTACAGGATAAAATGCAGGTGCCAGGGATGCATTCAGTTATATTGTCCATTGTCTGTGTCCTGGTTTGCAAAACTGCATTGTACAAAGCTAACTCATTTTAAAGTCATAAAGAATAATTAAAGAAATCATAAAGAAACTGTGCTAGTCTGGGAAATCTTGTACTCATGACTCAGGTTAAATTCCAGGCTTTTACTACCTTTGGAAAAATCAGACCTGTGACTGAGCAGGCCCAGAGCTCTGCTGAGAGTGAGGAGCTAGCTGAGTTCCTGAGAACAGGCAAAATCCAGAGGACAATCACTGCCTATGGCTGCTGCAGGTGGTGCTGGAGGAGTCACAGCAACACAGCCTGGATGCTGCCTGAGAAAGTCAACAAGTAATTGCCCATTTTTTGGCATTTTCCATTAAAAACCCGTGGAAATCTGAATGTAGTGCAAGATGCTTCATCATAAATAGATAGAGATGTTTAACCTAGGGTTACAAGAAATGTCTCTGAGTACATAAATAGATAGCACTTGTGTAAGTTACTGAGTTAATCCTGAATCACTGTATTTTCAGGTATTTGGTTAATAATACTGCTGTTACTTACAGCTTGCTTAGTGACTGTATCACTGGAGATTGAATGTGATGCTGAGGATGTGAAGGTCAGCTCTGAGATCAGACCAGGTTGCTCAGGGCTTTGTGCACTTGGGTCTGGAAAAGCTCCAAGGAAGGAGACTGAACAAGCTCCCTGGGCAGCCTGTGCCACTGCCCAGTGCCTGCCCTCTGGGGAAGAAATTCCTCTTCACATTGAGATGGAAGCTCTCTTTAAGGTCATGATGTGTTTAAGAGGAGTGAAAGTTAAAAAAATAAATACTAATTTAGATATTTGAAGATAAGAGATGAGTAGTGATTATCTTCCTACTTAAGGAGTTGACTGAGTCCAGTATTTTCCCCCCTTGGTCTAAGAGAAGGCAGCATTTTACCCTTGAGAGTTCTGCTTTGAGACAGCCAGTTACTCAGTTGCAGATGCAGGGTTAATGCTTATCTAGACACAGAGCTTTATCTCACCTCTTGAAAAGCCTCCAGGGAGTGGATGAATCAGGTCTGCTAGTTAAACAAGCAAGAGGCTGCAGAAACATGGAAGTGGAGCAGGTGGAAAGAAGGAAAGAAAATACCTTGACTGCTTTTGCTGGCTGGGCCAGCAGGTGTTGAGAGGTACATAAAGGTAGGGGTGGGAAAACTGTCAGCTTTTCCTCTTCTCACCTTTGACAGAAAGAGAATAAATAGAACAGGTTATCTTATGTTCAAATATCATTCCAGAAGAAACATTTCATCAGATTCTGTTCCCAAATGTGTCTTAAAGAGCAAAAAAACAATCCTCAAAAATAGAAAGAGCAAGCATCTGTCTTCAATTGAGTCCAGAAGTTACTATTTAAAACCAAAACAAAGCCACTAAGCCTTATTTTTTATTTCCTTTCTGACAAAATCAATTATATTGGGCAAATTATTATTAGAGTGAATGGACTTTCTGTGACATGTAAACAAAGTGCAGCTGATTTTATACTTTAGAAAAATGGCCATCACTCAGCAAATGCTGTTTGTGTTGGGGAAAAAAGGCTCTGTTTGTGTATTAATGCTCTGGCCAGGAAAGAATCTTGACTATTTTACTCTAGAAGTATTTACTAAAACGGAGCTTTTCAGTTTTATAGATGGGAGGATAAAGATTCTTTAGCTGCAAGTGATATCACATAATCAGAATTAAGAACACAAATTGGTGTGCAGCTTTTGTCTGTCAGCCTGTGGCCACCTTATCTTTCAAATCTTTTTACTACATCTTTCCTTAAAAAGAGGTTTTTCTGTTTGCTTCCTTACACCAATGAGACTTCACAGTTGCTAGTTTGGAGCTAGTTATGAGCACAGAGATGGCAGGACTATGCCAATGATTCCTCTGTCCTTTAATGCTTACTTTGGCATATTTGGTGTTGCCAAGTGTGTTTCAAAAAGTGATTGTGCAGGAAGGTCCTTCCTGTGGGTACCTTCTTGTCTTCCTAGTTGATTAAAAAAAACCAAAACACACACACAAAACAAAACACAACCCACAGCCAAACAAAAAGCAAGGTGGAACCAGACAGGATCTAAACAATCCATCAAGCCAGTCTTACGGTTTTTATTTTTCCTTTTTTCTTTAACATGACCCAGAAGGCTGGAGTTACTGACAGGGGTAGTTCAGCACAGGGTAGTTGATGGTCAGTAGTGCTGGGACTGCTGGTCAGTTGCTTTAGTTCTTTAGGTGACTGATAAATCTTGCCTGCAGTTTGCCCAGCTCGTTGCTGCTGGAGCTGCACCCTCTCCTGGAAGCGTGTGGTGCTGCTGTGTTTGACCCTGCGGTGGTTCCTGCTCCTCTTCCTCCTTGTCCCAGGAGGTCATGCTGATGGATGGCAGGCTGAGGCAGCCTGGAGGAGCCTCTCCAACTCTCTGTCCCTCTGCTTCTTGCTCCTGCCCTGAGCTATCCTGAAAGTTTGGTGTGTTATCTCTGTCTTAGTGCACAGAACTGAGCTGTGGTGAGACTCAGTAACCACTCAGTGCCTGCAGACCCGAGAGCATTGCCCCAGCCAGGGCAGGGACCTGTTCCAGACATCCTCTGGGGTTCTGTGTTAGACCTGTGACCAGTAAACTCAGTGTGGTAGAGGAGAATAACTCCTGGGATCTCTTCAGTTTTCTTGGTAATAGATGCAGCCTTTTTGTTTTCCTGAATTAAGCTCCTTAATTGTGAATAAAATGACATGTTTTCAGGTTGATTTTATTGTATTGCAGTTCATACTGATAAAGCCAGTGCAAAACTGATTCTAAAATGTATACAAGCAGAGCAAGCTGAACATTTGTAGCTGTATTTTTAAGTCTGAGAGTCACATATTACCTCTGTTTAACCCAGGTTTCCTAAGGATTACCTTCCTTTTGGTTCTAAAGCCAGTTGTTTTTCTCAACCATCTCTTTAACCAGATGAATCATGTGAAAGACAGATTCGGGGACAACGTGCCAGAAGAAGTGCTGCTGCTGTGCCTGGGTATTACTTCAGGAGTTGGCAGACTGGTCTTTGGCAGAGTTGCAGATTATATTCCTGGTGCAAAAAAAGTTTATTTACAGGTATGCCTTTACCCTGAAGAAATATACAAACAGTGTTCTGAAGTCTTTGGTTGCAGGTACTATTTTAAGTAAGTGGAATTAACTGATTGGAGATTCGAAGTTGAGGAATTAAAAAAACTGTAGGAAAGTCAATGCATGGTGGTTTGATACTTGGAACCTTTGGTACAAAGTTCAGGAATCTGATTTCTTTCTTTTTTTTCCTCTTTTAATGCTAAGGAAACATGTCTGCTCCCTACTTGCTGGGAATGAAATTGCTAATTATTAGTATGTGAGTGGGAAAACCTCTGGGAATTCTCTAAATTCTGCTTTCCCTCTTTTATCTCATGATTTCATAATGGCTGCAGAAAGATTTTTTTTTTTTGTTCTGTTTTGTTTGTTTTTCTCTGTGTTCCCTGTATGAAGGATTTGGGATCTCTTTTCTTGATCTTTGATAAGTGATAATTTGGTGTCAAGTATGTTCTGTGCATAGTCCAAGGTAAAGCCAAGGGAATAAGAGGTGCTTAGTTGAAGAGATTTTGCTGAATGCAGTGGGTAATTTGCAGAAAGTCTCAGCTTCCAGAAATGATTAAGCTTAGGAATGAAGGAGGATATATACACTTTTTCCCCTCCACACTTATAAATACTGTTTTTCTGAGAAAGCAGCAATGTTAGTGTAGATTTTTGGAAAAGCTTTATTTAGTAACTTGCATGTTATCAACCTGTGGGTGTTCTTGTTTTGTTGTTTTAAAATGAGTAACAAGGGAGACATCTAATGGGTATTGTCTGTACTACATGATTGAAAACAAACATCCTTAGGAAAGAACTACCTTTCTGAGGATGGAGTATTTGTTGCCATAGTTACAAAAATTTGGGCTTCATGATGATAGAGCCTGGGACTGGATCTCATTCATGCATTGATTGAACACCTATTGTTCTATTTTCAGGAAAAGTCAATGTTAAGATAAAAAAATGAAAAGGCAGCATTGAGATGTTACACATCAACAAAGCAAAAATACCAAATGCAGTAAAAACTACAAGCTTTTAATATTCTTTTCCTTGAATAGCTAGAACTGAAAACCAGGGCCTTTTATTCAAGGCATGAACCAGATACATCTGGGTGCTGTTGGTGTTCCCTGGTTTTAAGCAGGAAAACCATGTTGCAAAGCCATGGCCCAGCACCTCCAGCTCTCTTGTTTCAAATAAGTATTTGTGAAAGAAAGCGACTGTTCACCTGAAGAATTAGTCTGGATTGTCTTGTCCAACAGTTCATACTGTTAACTCTCCTGTTTTAAGCTGGCTGCTAAAACACAGATCAGGGGACTATGTTTAGGAAGGAGACATTGTCATTCATTGCAGGCTTGAACAAAGCTGGGTGCTTGGTGCCTTCCCACAGTGTGTTCAGGTTGGGGTTGGAACTAGGTGGTCTTTAAGATCCCTTCCAACACAAACCACTCTGATTCTATGATTCAAGACTCCTCCTAATGAAGTAATTTATGTGATGTTGCTTATCCATTTAAAAAAAAAAAAAAAAGGTGATGTCTAGTAGGTTTTAAGTGACCTTGTATTTCTTTAGTATCCTACAAGTGACCAATGCATAATTCCTGTGTCTCGATTAGAAAATGTGTTTGTGCATTAAGGTGGGACATTGGTTTTGTGTCCTGGCACAGGGATGGTGCACAAGCAAAATTCTTACCTTTTTTATTTTCTTAATTTTGCTGAAAGACACTGTTTCATTCCTTTAATTTTAAACAAGCAAATAATCATCTTAAACTAAGATTATAATATAAAATCCTTGTTAGTATGCATGGATACAGGAATATGGAAAGATACCTGTATATGGAAAAATAAGCACCTTGAAGCAATCACTCATAAAATAGATATTTTTTTTTTAAACTTAAAATGCAGCAGTGAGGAGTCTAATTATAGTGTTTTAGCAGGAGAGTTGATTAGAAATGCATTTGGAAAACTTGTGAAATGGGCAGTTGAATCTCTTGGCATGTCATGAGTTCTGTGTGTTTGGTTTATCTTGGTGTGTAACTTTTGGTGCTGGTAACCCCCAGAGACTGCTTCTCTTCATTTTTAAGTATGTACAGGCAGATAATTCACTAGAAATGTACCAAAACTCTTCTGTTCCCTTGATCTTTGCTTATTTGATGTAACACGCTTAAATTTTTCCCTTGGTCCTGTTTAGGTGGCCTCATTCTTCTTTATTGGCCTGATGTCCATGATGATCCCCCTGTGCCATGTCTTCGGAGGTCTCATTGCTGTCTGTCTCTTCATGGGCCTGTTTGATGGCTGCTTCATTTGCATTATGGCTCCTATTGCCTTTGAGCTTGTTGGGGCTCAGGATGTCTCCCAGGCCATAGGATTTCTACTGGGATTCATGTCAGTGCCTATGACAGTTGGTCCACCCATTGCAGGTAAGTACAGACCTGGTCTGTAGCTGTGAATATGCTCCTGTGGTTGCATGACTCTGTGGACATGGTTTCCATTCCTGCACCACTTGCAGTTCACTTACCATGTCAGCTTTCTCAGCATGTGCTCCAGAGAATCATAGAATCACAGAATGGTCGGGGCTGGAAGGGGCCTCCAGAGATCATCTAGTCCACCTCCCCTGCCAGAGCAGGAACACCCAGGGCAGGTCACACAGGAACGTGTCCAGGTGGGTCCTCAAAGTCTCCAGAGAAGGAGACTCCACAACCTTTCTGGGCAGCCTGTCCCAGGGCTCTGTCACCCTCATAGTAAAGAAGTTTCTCCCCCTGTTGAGGTGGAACTTCCTATGTTCCAACTTATACCCATTCCACCTGTTGAGGTAGAACTTCCTATGTTCCAACTTATACCCATTCCTTGTCCTCTCACAGGGCATCTTGAAGGTCCCTTCCAAACCAAACCATTCTGTGATTCCATGAAGAGTCAAGGGCTGGAGAAGCTAAAAAGAGCAGCTTTCCTATGGGGACTATGGTGCATGTTTTTATGGAGGGATGGTAACCAATCAGTCAAGTGGTGACATGCTGAGTTCTTTGGTACTTGGGGAGTTCTTAGTGAATTCTGGAATCCCTTTCTGCCCATATATACCTAGATTTGGCCATCAGGTAGTCAGATTGGTGGTAGTGATAATCTGTGCTAGCTCTAAAGTTTTGGAATCCAAAGAGAGGACTCTTCTGTAGGTTGCTGGGTCCCCACTATTGATCAGAGATGATGTTGTGTCCTCCCAGGCCTCCTGCGGGATCACCTCGGCACGTACGACGTGGCGTTCTACCTGGCTGGAGTCCCTCCTCTTATTGGTGGTGCTATCTTGTGTTTCATCCCCTGGGTCCATGAGCGACAGAAGCTAAAAGCAAGAGCCAAGCCCGTTGATGGAGAAACTACTGAGAAAATGCTGGAAAACGAGAACACTTTGGTGTCAGACACTACACAAAAGCCAATCAAAGAAACAGAGTCTGGGGTTTGATGCTTGCTTTTCCTCTACCAGCCCCACCCCCTCCCTGCTGAAGCTAGCTAGACTGGTACTTTTTGGCTGAAGATACTATATGATAGTGGAGAAGTTCTGAACTATTGCTCAAATGGCAAAACTGCTATAACAATCTTTTATACCTTTGAACTTTTTTTGATGAGTGGCCGAGTTGGATTTCAAGCCACATTTTCAAGGTATTTGAAGTTTTGTAGTGTTGGTGTGTTTGTGTATAGTGATTCTGTGTGTGAAGAGAATATTTTTCTAATTCCTCTCTTTCTGAAGGTGTAAAAGCTGGTTTTGGTTCACTGACCCAGTGACTTCATTAACTCTGATGGTCCATCAGTGCAGGCACACACCTGTGGCTGTTTACACTGGGAAATGTTGTAGCTCTTGGGACTGATTTGTTGAAGTTTGTCTTTTACGATTCTAGATCAACAACACAAATTTGCACCTCTTTGATTCCCTTTACTGCTGAAATAATTAGAAAGCTAAATTATGAATCACCTGTATTCTTTTCCTAAAACACCCCAGCATTCATTCTGCTTAAACCTTCACCTGTTCTTGCACCGATTCACCTTCTCCCAGGAGCCCGAACAAAACATTAAGGATTAATTTTTTTGATGGGCACAGGTTTGGAATTATGTGCAAACTAAGCTCCAGGTGCAAACACATTCAGAAGTGAAGCTGCTGAGTGAGAGATATTTTTTATTTGGTTGAAGGCAATATTCTTAATGTATATGTGTGTCTTCTCGTTCAGCTAAACCTCAGAGGAGCTGGTAGTTCTGAAATGACACTGACAGTAACACTTTGGAGCAGTATTGTGAATTATTAGATTGATTTTCAAATTGTTCTGTTGTTAGGGTTTTTTTATTCTTGAAAACAAGACAGCTTTAAAGAATACATTCTAAGTGCAATAATAAGTTGTTTTTTAACATGGACATACAAGCTATGAAAATGACATTCAACAATTGAAGATTTTTGCACTAAGTGAACATGCAGGTTTATTATAGGTCTTTGTAGTTCAGTTGTAGGATATAGCTCCATATTTTATTCAGATATAAATAAATGTCTTTGCATGTCCTGTTTATTGCCTAGCATACTAAACTTGGCCCTGTTGCTTATGTATTCTTAGGAATTATGCACTGTTTCTCAAGCAGGTATTTCTGAAATCCTCTTTGATAAGTATTTGGAAGCATAATACTCTGAGATCAAAACACTGCTTTTCAGTTAATCAGAAACCACTTCCAAGTACACTGTTTATTTGTGGATATGGATCAAGAGTGGAATATTTAATCACTATTTCAGGTCCATTTGAAACTAAATAATATTTGTTTTCCTGTTTGGAAGTGTCATAGCAGAGAGTAAACTATGTGTGGTTTGCAGACAAAGTGCACACTGAAGTGCATTTTCTTAATTAGTAACCATACCTGTTCTTGACATAAACCAGAGGCATACTGTTTCAAAATTATAACCCTTATTGTCTTTTCTGTTATTTTTCTTTCTCCAGAGTTGTAGTAAATTGAACATAAAGCCCATGTATACTTGTGATATAAAACATTGTTGGCAATACTACTGCTTAGAATGTTTACATCTATCAGCTTACAAAAGTCCTTTAAATATAATCACACAAAGCATCCTAATTTTTTGAGACCAAAACTCACACCTTTTTTTGTATTGCAGGATTTCAATCCCTGCTTTACATGAGGGGGAGGTTTAAAAGAATTAGATGTTAAAATGTTAGAGGTGGATGGGAAAGATGAGGAGGTGGAAATAAACAAACACCCCAACCAATCTGTAATCCAAAGGTTCCTTTAGGTTCACTAGAACTTGTGCTTCTGGACCTCCCAAGTGCTTCTAAAAATATCATTAAAATGCTTATAGTATTGTTAATTAAAATGACTGCAAGATGCTGCCTTCATGACAAAAAATTATGTGAACATTTTATGCTGTTCTTGCCTGGAGTATTTCTGTAGAGCACATTTTTCAGTATTATCTCCTGTTTGGGCAATGCAAAAGGTCTTGATTAAGTGTGATAAAAGCCTCTTGTTTCCTGCTTTGCTGTGAAAAATCAGTATTCATCACAGATCTTATTTCAGGTGTTTTAGCTTTGACTTTTTAACCAAAAACAAGGCTGCTTTTTAGCACTGATGCAATTTGAAATCCTTATGACCAGACATCTGGATATAACTGTGGCATCTTCCTGACTTGCTGCTCTGTTTGTATATAAATTATCTGGGAGAAAATATAAAATAGTTGTTGGTAAATTTTAGAAATTATACAGAAATGGTATAACAATAGTATGGATTAATTATGACCATACCTGAAAAAAAATGTATTTATACATAAAAATCCAAACTTGCATATTTGAAGAACGAAATATGTAAATTCTGCTCACAAATATGAAGGATGTGCATTGAAAACACCTCACAAAACCCAGGGACTCCAGGGAGAAGGTATGATGAGTGAATAATTGTTTAGGAGTGATTACTGTGTGAAAAACAGCTAGGGAATGGGATGTCAGGCAAGGGGGAAGCAGAGGTGAGGGGTGAGAAGCTCTGCTGGTCTGAGGTTGGGATGATGAACTCATTTCTGATGCCAGAGCCTGTTTTACAACAAGGCTGAAATTGAGAAAACTTCGGGGAGGGGTGGGGGGAAGATATTTCAGAAAAAGTAAAAAAAGAAATGAATGCATGAGCATTTTTTTTTTTTTTTAGCATCCTCACTGTTAGCTTGTATCTGTGGGGGAAATGTCCAGCAGAAAATGCTCTTTAATTGACACAAGCATAAAAAGACTGTGCCCTAGAGCTAGATAAGGTGCAGCAGAAATTAAAGTTGCAGCTGGTTAGCAGTGAGGCTAACTAACCACTGAGAAACTCAGAGAGATCCTGGATTCTATATACCCTGAGGTTTCAAAAATGAGGTTAGTGGTCTCTCTTTAAAAAACAAACTAAACCCAACCCACAAACCCCACAGCAATTATTTAGTACATCTATGAAAAAATTATTCAGTAATGTAGAAACTGTTGCTGTTCTGAAAACTAGAAGAGAAAAGCACAGAATATTTGACTTTCTTTTGACTAAGTCAATGTAAATAAGTGTTTGTAACAAAATCTAATTTGAAGTGTGGAAACCTGTTGTGATGGGAAACCTGCTGAACTCATATTTTGATGGCCTAAATCATGTTAGATTGGATCTTGTTGGGGGGTAGATGCTAGAATTAAAGCACTAGCTTAGTTAAGAAAACCTTTGCTCAGATGTATCCCTCCCTTGAGCAAAGTACTTTGTGTAGACATCACCCTCCCTTTCTGTGAGCAGAATAATGGTCTTTTTCCCATTCTGTGCTCTCAGAGTGAGCTGCAGAAAGGGAGTAGCAAGAGGGTCCCTTAAATGGCAGTGTGAAATTCCCAGTCCTCCTCGATGTTCACCAGACCATGAAATCAGGATTAATGTTGAGCAAGGGGTTGGATTTATATGCGGCTGACACGTTTTTTTCAGGAGGTATGAGCCTTGTAAGTCTTCATGTGTTTGTTCAGAGAGTCTGAAATAACAAAAACCCTTCAGGTTCTTATTTACCTCTAAGCTGTGCAACAATCTACAATGTGTAATTAATGAAAATGTATTGATGGATTTGTTCTGGCTACATGTTAAAGGACCTGTACAAGTCTCAAACCAAGACTTTCAAATTAACACACTCTTGGAATTTCTTTCATCCAGATCTTTGTACGTTCTGCATTAACACTTAATTATTTTTTTCCTAAGTTTACTTTCACCGACCACTTATGGAGCTTCCTGAATTGCTCACTCATGTCACAGGTGGCACAGCCATTCTGTGGCCACCCTTCAGGGCACAGTCAGTACCAGATGAGGGAGGCACTGACATCTTTCTGCTTTGGCTCTTCATGGATGATGCCTGGGCACATCCACCCCCCTTCCCATTGGAGACACGGGATTGTCCCAGCTGCTGCACACTTGTCAGCCTTCCTTTCTCAAGCTGCAGTAACCCTGTGAGTAGTTGTAGCCTGACAGGGCAGGCAAGTTTTTGTGAGGGGGGAGCAACTGGCAACTCCAGGAGTGCTGAGGGCAGGTCTCAGACTAGATGATGCTTTGGTCACATATGGGGTAAGAAATGGACACTGCCTGTGAAAGCAGGAGTGCCCTGCTCCCTTCCTTGCATCAGGTGGTACCTGCTGAAGGGCAGGAGATGCTTCCAAAGGATGGGAATCAAGACTGCTATCCTTGGGGTTCTCCTCACAGGTCCTCACTGTGCTGGCTGGGGCATCTCATGGTGCTGCAGCCCTTGGGGCTTGGCTGTCCCCTCTGAGCAGGGAACTCAGAGAGGTGCTGCCTCTCTGGGCTCTGAGCCCCTCCAGCAGCTGGAAGGGCTATGGGAGCTGACTTCAGGCACATCCTCTGCCTGAACTGGCTCTCTGGTATTGTGTGTGTAGCTCTGTATTTTGAGCAGGGCACACACCAACATTCTGCATTTTAACCACAGGAGCTGTAGCACTGGGATGGGGGCAGAGCTGAGGAAAAGCAATTGTTCTCCTGTGTGTTTCACTGTTGACAAGCACAGCACTGTGACAGTTCCAGACAGCCAGGGAGTTTCTAGTCATGCAAACTGTGGCATATTCTCAGTATGCCTTCTAATCCTTTATATATACATATATATATTGTGTCAACATGTTTAATGTTTCAGAACTGCATATGCTAAGATTAGACTGAATTTATACTAAAATGTGTGCTAATATTGATAATACGGACATCTTTGAGTATCTTTATAGACATCATATTTTGTATGTTGTTTTTGATATTAAAAGATATACATTTTGCTGGCCTTAACTCCATTCTTTAAAGTTCTGCTTTGTGAGAAGGGTAAGAAATGAATGTCTAATGTTTTCATGGTGCTAAAGTAACTGTGATCAGTCTCAAATGATTCAGAATAAAGATAATAATTCTTAAGAGCCCCATTTGTTACTGCATCCATCATTTTTAGTCTTAAATCTCCTGCAAAACATGTATTTTTTAAAAAATAGAGTTATATTCTGATTACTATTGAATCTCGTATGCAGACTTGGGTTTAAAGCCTTTACAGCTTTTAATACCACTGGAAATGATCTATGAGGCAGGGATGTGTCTTTGTGGCCAAGAGGGCCCATGGAAGCCTGGGGTGCATAAGGAAGTGTGTCCAGGAGGTGGAGAGAGGTCATCCTGCCCCTCTGCTCTGCTCTGCCCTGGTGAGGCCACAGCTGGAGTGTTGTGCCCAGTTCTGGGCTCCCCAGTTCAAGAGAGACAGGGAACTGCTGGAGAGAGTCCAGGGGAGGGTGACAAAGATGCCAGGGGGGTTTGGAACATCTCCCTGCTGAGGAAAGGCTGAGGGAGCTGGGGCTGCTCAGCCTGGAGAAGAGAAGGCTGAGGGGAGACCTGATCACTGCCTACACGTGTCTGAGGGTGGGTGCAGGAGGATGGAGCCAGACTCTGCTCAGCAGTGCCCAGGGACAGGGCGAGGGGCAACGGGCACCAGCTGGAACATGGGAAGTGCCCCTGAAAGGTGGGGAGAAACTTCTTGGCTGTGAGGGTGAGAGAGCCCTGGGACAGGCTGCCCAGGGGGCTGTGGAGTCCCCTTCTCTGGAGAGATTCACCCCTGGATGCAGCCCTGTGGGATGTGCTCCTGGGGGTCCTGCTGGAGTGGGGTGGGACTGGATGATCTCTAGAGGTCCCTTCCAGCCCCGACAGGTCTGTTACATGCGTCTGAAAATGTTGTGTACTCTTCCATTCTGGGGTTTCATCTCAAACTTCCAGAACAGTGGCATTCACAAAAGGCAAAAGTAAAATGGAGAGAGGGAAACTGTGGTAGAATAAACTTGAGTGGCTTTTTACAAGAATTGTCCATATTTGGCTTCATGCCCTGCCAGTGTAAATCAGGGGAACTTTGATCATTCACTGGCCCACTACCAATTCCACCTTGGTTTACCTTGGCAGTGTGAAGTGTTTCCTCATTGACAGCTTCAGTAAATCAGAGGGGTTCATTCACCTTTCCTTTGTAGTAGGGCCAAATACTTTGTTCTTTCATAGATGTATCTGATGATAAGGAGGAAATATTCCCATTCCGCTGGGGGTTATTCTCTAGACTGCTTGTATTTTGAATTAAACTTTGAAAAAGGTGCCTTAAAGCTTTTTCGGAGCCCTAGTGCTGTTGTCATTTGTACGTTCCCAAGGTGCAAAACCTCTTTGTAACCTTGTAAAACACAAGTGAGAAGAATACCTTTCAAATACGTTAGTACTTTTTCAGGAAGCTGTTTTTATACCAGCATTTATGATGACAGCTAGTTAAGGGAGGAAAATACTAGCATCCGGAGATGGGGTTTAACATGTATATGGTTTTCAGAAAACTAATGCTGTCATTTTATACTTTGAAATTGTTTTTATTTGGAATGCTGTCTACTGATGAATTATAGAATGGGTTGGAAGTGACCAGGCTGCTCCAAGCCCCATCCAACCTGCCCTTCAACACTGCCAGGGATGGGGCAGCCACAGGTTCCCTGGGCAACCTGGGCCAGGCTCTCACCACCCCCAAGTCCTTCTTTACTTATAGAAGGGGACCCAAAATAATCAGATTTCTACGGGTCTGTTAAAAAAACCAAACAAACTCGGTTATTATCGTTGTGTTTGGTGAGGCTTGAATGCTACCCCGGCTGCTTCTGGCTTTAATAGGGGAAGGAGCTGCAGCGGGGCC